GGGCCCCAGTTTCAGCCGCTGTTGAAACTGATCAGTGGCTGATTCCAGGAAGCCCGGGGCAGAGCAACTCTGCCTCGGGCTTCCTGTAGTCCGCCCCTGGTCAGTTTCAGCAGCAGCGGCTGAATCTGGAGCCAGTTCCGAGTTACGTACAAATTCAACTTAAGAACAAACCTATAGTCCCTATCTTGTACGTAACCCGGGGACTGCCTGTATACGAAAAGCATATACAGAACCAGTAGAAAGTAGCTTTTATTTGACACCTCACATGGCTCCCTTTGTACCACTTTTGGGACAAACACCCCCCCCCCCATGGTTGCAGCAATGACCTGACTGCTCCCCTCAAAATCCAATAACGTGACACCTTGCTTTCTGTGTTCACTCCTTGCTGCTTCTCTCTCTGGATCCCCTCCTCCACCTGCACTCCTCCTCCCATAGTCTGTCCTCTCCCTCTCTGCTGCCGTGTCTCCCCAGCCAGCCCACAAGCTGTAGGAAATATTGGGGGGCCTGTTGTCCAGGGGGCGTGGCTGTTTGCTCTGGGCCCAGTCCCGCTTTCATTGCAGTCTGGCGATTGCGTTGACAGGAGTGACGCAGAGCGGCAGGGTGGCCCGCGTCCGTGCATTGCACATCTGGGCTGTGATGCTTGTGGTGTGTTATGTAAAGGTGCATTACGACACCCCTGTGGTAGGAATGGAGACCGAGCCGGGACCCAGCTCAGCAATAATTAAAACATTTCTCTCTTAATGTCTCCGCAAATTAATTACAGGCTCCCAGCCAGTGGCTAGTACTGGCTGTGAGGCTGCAGCCATTTGACACCCCAGCAGCACACTAGGGCTGTAACCGGTGGGGTGGTGTTTATTGGTAACCAGTTAACTGGCGGCCTGGCCAGAGCAAGCCTGAGCGGTTAACCAGTTAACCATAACATTTAACCGGTTAACTGATTTAATGGGATTTTACAGCCCAGCCGCAGACTCGTCTCTTGTTTTGCCAGATGGGTTCAGTTCCAGGGGGACGGCTGATCTGAGGCTGTGGCTGGGTCAGTAACAGTGAAACTGGATACTGGGTGGATTTCCACATCTTCCCTCCAAAGTCTCTACTCCGTTTGCAGACTTTGAATGTGTGCCGTCCTAAGACACCCCTTCCAGAATATGATCTGCGGAAGTGGGTCTGGCCCACGAAAGCTCATCACCTATTAAACCATCTTGTTAGTCTTTAAAGTGCTACCTAGTTTTTCCTTTTGTTTTAGCAAGATCAGACTAACACGGCTACCTCTCTATTACTAAGACACCTTAACAACCCACTTGCTAGGAACGGCGGCTGGGTAGGAGTCAGTGTGCACGGTGCAAAGGCATCTGGAGAATCAAGCTTCTGGCTGTGTCTTGGCCTCCCATGGGAGAAAAAGGCGTTCCTTTCAGCGGATACCCTATTGGTTCTGTTGGGCACCCAGTTGCACCAGATCTTATCCAAGAAGCCGTTTAAACTCCTAATCAATGTAATTCGGGGGTGGGGGGAGTCCTGAACCCTGGGTAAAGATTCCCGGAGCTGGTCCTGGCGGTGGGGGTCGGGACCTGCTTGTTGTAAACACAGATCTCAAAATACCAAGATGAACTAGGTGCAAGACGATCGGACGCTCCGTTGGTGGGGGGTGGGGTAGTAGCTCACCTGCAGCTAAAGCAGCGGTGGGCCGCCTGCAGTCCATCCGGTCCCAGGTGTGGCCCACGCTCAGGGGTGCCAGATTCTGCTGGTTTTCGTCCATGTCGATTTTGCCTGGTTTTCGTCCATGCCAGGAAGTGAGTTGGGGGCTGATGGCGCACAGCACTGACTGGGAGAGCCGGGCGCTCCCTCTGCGTCCGATCAAAGCGCTGCGACAGTTCAATTGGCGCCCCACAAATTCTAGATCGGCCAAGCGCAGTTAACAAAACTACCCTAACCTCGGAGACCGTCTTGGTGACGGCAATCTTGCAGCCGCTGAGATGGAGGAGGGCCCCTCATGCAGCCCACTCACTAGCCTAGGTTGCCCATTGCTGAGCCAAAGTCACTTAGACAAGCAAAGTGTCTGTTCACTGGGAATCCTTTGGGCGCTCGCAAGTCCTGAGCGTATCCACTCGCTGGTAGGCCTGTAGTACAGCCGCTGTCTGCCTGTACAGGACCCTCCCTTCTGAGCGCCTGTCAACAGCCTTCCGGGAAGGTGACCTGTAAGTAGATGGCACATTCCGGGGTTGTCAGCTGCCTGTTCGGTGCAAGTGGGACAAATGTCAGTGACCTCTGGTGTTAGGTATCTGTGCAGGTCACCTGGGTGACCTGTCCCCGCAGGAATGGCTGGGTACTTCCAGGGTGGGTGTGTCTAGTTTCAGGGAGGAGCCAGGACTTCCACTGACCCCTCCACAGGTCGGTCTGGTCGGGAGGCTCCATTAGGCATGCTGATGCAGAGACTGCCTCGGCGGGGCGGCTCCCTATAACAGCCTCCCGGGGAGTGCCTGCTGTGGCAGTAGCACGGAGAGCTGGTCCTGGGACGATGGTAGAGCCAAAGAAACCCCAGGGAGGGGACACCAAAGCGCCTCCAGCCGCCGCCGCGGGACCTGATGTGACTGTTTCCACAGCCACTATGTCCACCAGGAGGCTGCGCAGCGAGGACTACAACGACTACAGCTCCACAGAGGCAACACCCGAAGGGAGCCCCCCCGAAGGCGCAAACGGCTTCGCCTCTCCCGCGTCCTACCAGCGGTTCGGGGAAAGCTACGGGACGACGTAAGTCATGGGCTGCCTGGGCGTTACTGGCCGTGGGCGCTGCCTGCGGGTGCTGGCTATCACGCCCCCTCTGCTCGGGGATCCTTTGGGCATGGACCGTGCCGTGTAATGGGGAGGGAACGATTCCCTTTCGTGGGGGAAGGCGGCTGGCTTTGCACACTCTCTCGTGCCGGTCCGTCCAGGTCTCTGGGCACAAGCACTCCGCCCGCCAGGCTTGTTGTCAGCTCAGTACGTGTGCCTAGA